AGAGGGAGAGTAGTATTCATATTGACTAATTGTAGAGGGGGCTGACGCCATTCAAGCCCTGGTGGGAGGAGGGGGGGGGTCGCTCTGCCGGATGCATGGCGCCATTCAAGCCCGGGAGGGGGGAGAGGGGGGTGGGGGGGCTGACGCCATTCAGGCCCAGGAAGAAGGAGGGGGGGAGGCTTCGCTCTGTCGGGCGGGGGGGGGGCGGGGCGACGCTATTCAGGCCCGGGAGCGGGGGGGGCCCTGACGCCATTCTGGCCCGGGAGAAAGGAGGGGGGAAGGGGGGGGCGCCATGGGCAGGAGAGGGGGGGGGAACGCCTGGGCTGACGCCATTCAGGCCCGGGAGGACGAAGTCGGGGGGGGGGGGGGAGCTGACGTCATGGCTGACGCCATTCAGGCCCTCGAGAGGGATCTGGAGGGGGGGAGGGAAGGGGCCCTGACCCCATGGCTGACGCCATTCAGGCCAGGGAGGGAGAGGACGGGGGGGGGCGGGGGCTTACGCCATGGCTGACGCCATTCGGGCCCAGAAAGCGGGAGGGGACATCCCATGAGTTTGGCTGTTCACGCGAGATCGTCACTTTCGAATATCCGACGGTTGCCCAAGCGAGCTCAACATCTCTATCTTATGAGGATGTCTCGAGCGAGTGTTCTTCTTTTAAACATAAAAGGTCCTCCGTCGCAAGCAGAACCGGTAGCACCCTGGATCGGCGGCACTGGCCGGAGGCCACTACAATATCACGGATGTGTGGAGGCGGACCAATGCCTCGGCATGGCTGCCATACCAGTCGTCTTGCTCGTTGTCGGCATCTGCGCTTGAAGCAACACGCCCTGACCTTTAACGCGCATCGTCATCACGCCAGAAAGAACACGGCCTTGTGGGGTTCACCAGGAGGAAGAAGCCCGTTGTGCTCTGCAGGCGGCAATTGCTTTTTGCGGCGGACACCATCAAGCATGTTGTCCGTGACGTGGTCGAAATGTACAGGAAGAAAGCCACACCACATATCAGTAGAAGCAGCGTGCAGCCGAACGCCGCGACGTCAAACGACCGTCCTTTGATGGTGTACCGAAAGAACAGAACTTGGCAGCCGGCACTGCCGTAAAGGTCAGCAGGAAGAGACTGCAGGTAAGCCGCGGACAGGCGGTAGTCACTTGGTTCCCCCCCAGAAACCAGCATATTGAGCCAACGCGCCTACGAGAGCAGTGGAGGAGAAGGAGGAGGAGGAGGCGGAGAAGGATGAGGAGGGGGGGATGAGGGAGGAGGGACAAGGAGGGGAGGAAGGAGGAGGAGGGGACGATGAAGAAAAAGGGGCAGGACAGGACCGAAGAGAAGCAATAGCATGAGAAACGGTAGGAGGAGAGGGACGAGGACGAGGATGAGGAGGGGGAAAGGAGATGATGAGGAGGAGGAGGAGGAGGATGAAAAGAAGGAGGAGGAGGAGAAGGGGGGGCGGAGGACAGGACGGAAGATGAGGAGAAAACGGGTGAGAAGGAGGATAGGAAGGAGGAGGAGGAGGAGGAGGAGGAGGAGGAGGAAGAGGACAAGAGTAAACCCAGGATCAATTAACGATGCTACAATACAACCGCCGATCTCAAGATCTCTCCTCGCAGACACCTGCAACCAGCCCGCTCCACTGAGGGAAACACCCCGTTCGAAGGGCGGGGCGGACCACGGTCCTGCCGCTGCCAGGTGAGAGCCCCGTCTTGAAGAGGAGCACCCTCGGCCCCCCTGGCTGGACAAACAGGCGAAGAGGTATGGCCACGAAGCCCTGCGATATGCCAACCAATGTCCAAGTGTGAAGAGGAAGTGCGGCCCATCAGTCCTACCGTTGACACGCATACGCGAACAGCTGATGCTTCACTTGTACGCAACTGTTATACGTCTGGCTGTAAAGCTACACGACCGGAGGGTATCTCGAGGGTGAGCCCCGTTTGGGAAGGCAACCATCTACCGCTAGCTCAGCTGACGGAAGCGTTTGGAACGAGCGTGAACGACAAGGCGAAAACCACATCTCCACGTGTGCCACCATCGATCCGTGACTCGGCGCCCATATGATTAAGATGCGAGGAGATAACGCGAGGAACACGCACTGAGCACGTGCCGTCCTCCATCGGCAAAGCGGCTTGAAACGTTCGGTGCGCACTTTATGATCTGCGGGGCGAGAGCGAACCTCTTCCGCTAAAAGCTAGGCGGGCTACGCACAGCTTAAATTAGGGAGACAAGGCACAGGAAGGCGGGGCCTCAGGCGGCCAGGGTGGGCGAAGCCCAGGGGTGCAGGCGGTGCCGAAGTGGATGTGCAGGAGCAGGTGCGCCGCGGACTGGTACCGGGGGCGAAGTCACGGAGGGTGAAGGAGAAGGTGTTGTCGAAGACGGCGCATCGCGAAAAACGTTCAGTGCACACGCGTGCGGCTAGAACGCGGCAAGCGCATGCTGTAGACTTGCTGCCCTGCATCCGCTGCGAGGATGGAAGCTGGATGCTTCGGCATCTGAAGCCTACAGCGGCCTACCAGCACGACTGTGAGGACCGCCTCCAGCGACACGCCTGGACCACCCCACCAACACGAGTAGGAGGAAGAGGCGCGAAGGATAGAGGGGAGGGATGATGACAGAGGAGGGGGAGGACGAGGAAAAGAAGGAGAAGGTGAGGAGGAGGTGAGGATGGAGGAGAAGGAGCGCAAGAGGTTGCAGGAGATTGAAGAAGAGGATCAAACGGTGGAGGAAGAGGGAGAGGAGAGGGAGGAGGAGGACGAGGATGTCAGACGGAGTGGACGGAGGGGAAGCGGATGGAGAGGGGCCGAGAGGACCGAGAGGGAAGGAGTGGACGGAGGAGAAGGAGAACGAGAAAACCAGGGGCAGAAGGGATCAGGAAGAGGAAGGAGGAGGGGGAGGAGGAGGAGGAGGAGGAGGAGGAGGAGGAGGAAAAGGAGGAGGCGGAGGAGGAGGAGGAGGGGGAAGGGGAGGAGGAACGTACCGAGGAGGAGGGGACGGAAAGAGGAGGAGAGGACCGAGAGGGAAGGATACGACGGAGGATGAGAAGGAGACAGAGGAGGGAGGCGAAAGGGTGAGGAACAGGAGGAGGGAGCAGGAGGAAGAAAAGCAGGATAAATATAGAGGAGGAGGAAGGGAGCAGGGAGGAGGAGGTGAGGACAGAGATGACAGAGGAGAGGAGGACGGAGAGGGGAGGGGAGGACCGAGAGGAAGGAGAGAACAGAGGAGGAGAAACAGGAGGGAAGAGGCGGAAAAAAAAGGAGAGAGCAGGAAGAGGGATGATCAGGGAGGAGCGGGGAAGAGCACCCCTATGCCTGCGTTCGAGAAACGAAGAAGGGACCCCGCAGGCATCTACAAGGGACCCCGCAATCATCTACGGGGAGGCTGGAAAAACTAAGCGCTGGAATCACTGCGGCCAGAATGGTCAGAGTAGGGAACATCGCGCTCGCGTGGGCCTGCCAACAAATAACACAAAAGGATCTCATGCCCCGGCCACAACAAAACAAAAACCTTAGGTAGCCCCAAGAAACCCCGAATCTGTCCAGCGACGTCTGCTGCGTAAGAAACGAACCGCAACGCCAACCGGAAAGCGCGGGGCCCTGGGAATGAAACACAAACGGATGGTTTCGTAGAGGGTTACCCTTTTTCAGATTTGGCGCGGCCCGACGAAAGAAATTCTGCCAGGAGCCCGAAGCATGGCATACCAAGCCCGCGTGTGTGTGTGTGTGTTTCCACCCTCCCCGTACCTAGTCTGGGACAGGCAGCCGGCGCCTCTCAGCGTCGGGATGCAAATGGCACTCATGACTCGGGAGCTACTGTCTGGACTGGGCGCGCACCGTATTCCGGGAAAGTTACACAGCGTTCGGTGGCAACTCATGGGAGCCCCCCATATCATCTTGTCGGCTCTTGCGAATCGACGCTAACCGACGCTAGTCTACGCTGATCGGCGCTAAATCGACGCTAATCAACGCTAGCCGACGCTAAATCGGCGCCATGTCACGAACTCCCAGACGCCAATCGACGCTAGTCGGCGCAAAAGACGGAATTACGCGGGCAAACATGGCTCCCAGGAGTCGCTGCCGAATGTTACTGTCTAGACTGGACGCGCACCGAATTCCGAGGCAGCTGCACGCATCGGAGGATGAGCAAGAGGAGCAGAGTCCAAGACCTCCTGGCGCCGTCAACGGCTCATGCTGGACGGGTTTGGGCAACTGTCGGCCTCCACGGGGGCCCACGCATGAAGGGCAAGGATAGAGGGGGACTGGCATGGGCGCTCCGCGCGGACTTCTTGGATCTGCGCTGGACCCCCCTCCCTGGCGCGCGAAGCGCGTCAGGGGCTGCGCCGGAGGCGGTGCAAGGGGGCCCCCGCGCAGATCCAAGAGATCCGCGCGGAGGTCCGAGAGTTTATGCTCATGTAGCTTGCTTCTTCTTCGAATCAAGGCACGCCAGGACGCTTCGCCACTGCTTGATGCTCGGATGGGGAGCAACGATCGGGGGGACGGCATAGGGGGGGATGCATCGACCTGGCATCGGCGACACGTCGCCGATGGATCGGCTACAGGCCCCCGATCGTGCATCCACGCGCCTTCCTGGGCAGGTCGCGACTATCGGGCCCCTATCGGCGATCCATGGGCGGTTGGGGGTCGATGCATCCGTCCCTACGCCTATCCCCCCCCCCATCGTGGCCTCTGAATGCACGGCCGCGGGACCGCCAAAACACTGCTCAAGATCGAATGCTGACCCTGGGGGAATGATCTAAACCCATGGGTGGTCCACGGTCGGAGCAAAAACACGGCGTCGGAAATCCGGGGGGACCAGGATGGGGAAGACGATGGAGGTCTTTGCACGGTCTGCTCCAGCAGCACCAGGGGGTCAGGGGTCAAGGGCGCATGCAAAACCGGGTGCGGACAACTCAGGATCTCTGAGGGCGGGCGGGCCCAGAGGATGTGGTTATCGGGATCCGCAACCGTTCCAGAGCGCTTCGGAAAGATCTGAGCGCATTGCGGAACGTTCAGCTCTGGAGCGATGTTCCTGTATCATCGCCATGCCTGAATGTTGACCCTTCTTGAGCCTGTGAAGTCCAACCAAATCAATATATGGATGAGGGAAGAAAGGAGGATGGAGGATGGGGAAGAGGAGGCAGAACACAAAGAATAATGCAGCACTCATTATAGGATGACTTGTGATATGTGGCCGATACACGGAATTTGAAGTTCGTGCAACATGAGCATGCTGGCCAGGGTGAACATCATCAATCAACACCTCGCCGTCGTCCTCCTCCTCCGCCTCCTGCCCCATTATCCTCCCACTTCTCCTTACCCTCCTCTGACCTCCCCCCATTCTCTTCCGACCTTCTCTTTCTCCTCCTCCTCCCCCATCTCATCCTCTTCTCCTATTCCTTCATCCTCGTCCTGTTCCAGGCATTTGGTGCCCGAAGGTACCCCCCGCGCGAGACCAATGTGCGCCAGACACCTCCACAGTGCATCTGCCAGAGGTAGGGAATCGAACCCTATACACCGACGCTTCTTCCGGCCCTGCATGTGAATTTGCACTGGAGAGCGGATCCTGGTGTATACGGGACCCTGGTGTTTTGCAATTTTTCGCTGTTTTCCCGGGACATCGGGGAAACAAATATACACCACACCACCCCAGCGTCGTCCTCGACCCTCAAGAAGTCCTGGGATTGAAAAACAGCCCGCCAATGGTAATGTATATGTTCCAATTCCCGACGAGGGGCAGACCAGTTTCTTGGCAGGGGCTATGTCACAACTCCTCCTCATCTCCCCCCCACCTACTCCACCTCCATCTCCTGCTGTTCTCTGTACTCGCCCTCCTTCTCCCCCTATCCATGTGTTTCTTGTTTCCTCCTCCCCCTCTTCATCTTCCCGTCTTCGGAGTCCGCCGACTCTGTGTACCACTTGCCAGGAAATCCGTGGTCCTAACGAATCCTCACTCCCTGATGCAGGAAGGAAGTGCACCGCCCACTCTCCTCAGGAGGGGGAGGGGATAGAAGAGGAAGGTGAGGTTGAGAGGGGCTGACGCTTCGCGCTCGCGCCTGCAGCCTGCCCAAGGAAAAAACGGAGAGGGGTGAAGAGGAAGTGAAGACGTGGAAGAATCGGAGGGGAAGGGGACGGAAGAACACGAGGAAGCCTTGGAGGCTGACAAGGAGCATGACGAGGAGTGAAGGAAGAAGCGGGAGGAGGACGAGGAAGATGATGACAAGGACACGCAACTACACAACTACAAAGCCATGCGACCCTGCAGACGCAGCTCAAGCTGCAAGGGTACCAGGTATTGCGACTAAGCAACTAAGGGCGACGCACAACCTGCAACCGGCAATTCCCATGCGCTGGGGGCGGATCCCCCACGCGGGTTAACTTTGCCCTAACTAAAGCGACAGAGGGTACGCTGCCGAGTGGAGGGTGGAACAAAAACGAGAGAATGGGGCAACAAGCGAAGTGGACTTGGGGGGAGGACGGAGGACGAGGAAGTATAAGAGCAGAGATGGTTTGGCGGCGAATCGGAGGAGAGAGCGAGAGAGAGAGAGAGAGAGAAGGAGAGAGAGGGAGAGAGAGAGAGAGAAAGAGACAGAGATAGAGAGAAACAAACAAAGGGGAAGATAAATAAAGATAACAAGAGTGAGAGAGAGAGAGAGAGACGCGAGGACGAGGGCCGAGCACCGAGCACGGCGCCCCCCAAAAGACGAGGCGCGCGGAGGGCGCGGAGGAGGCGCGCCACGGCGCCAGGGCGCGCCGCAGGCCGCGGAGGCCGCGCCCCCCACCCCGGAGGGGGGGGGGCGGAGGAGGAGGAGGAGGAGGAGGAGGAGGAGGAGGAGGAGGAAGAGCCCGGCGGGGGGCTCACTCCGAGGGCTCGCATGGGCCCGCCGCGTGGTCGCCTGGCGCCGCCGGCGCGGTGCACCGGGGGACCACCGGCCAGGCTCCGAGGCCCATCGGCCTCCTCCTCGCTTCTCCTCCTCCTCCTCCCTCCTCCTCGCTCCTCCTCGGTCCTCCTCGAACCTCCTCGCTCGTCGTCGTCCTCCTCCTCCTCCTCCTCCTCCTTGTCCTCAGCCTTCTTCTCCTCCTCCTCCTCCTCCTCCTTCTCCTCCTCCTCCTCCTCCTCCGCATCACTCCTCATCCCTCCCTCCTGCTCCTCCTCCCGGCTACTCCTCCTCCCGGCTTCTCCTCCTCCTCCTCCTCCTCGTCCTTCTCCTCCCCCACGTACTACATGTCTTGTCCTCATCTCCTGCTCCCCGTAATCCGCATCAGTAACAATATTATCACCATCGTCAATACCATCATCATCAACATCAGCATCATCATCAGCAGCAACAGCATAACCATCGTCACCATCACCACCACAAACGTCATCGCATCACCATCATCAGCATCGCCAACATAATCATGATCAACAACAATAACAACACCATCGTGATAGTCGTCATCCCATCCGACTCATCATCGTCCGCATCCCCATCGGCATCAGCATCAGCACCAACATCAACTGCCTCAGTACCAGTACTGGCGCCGTCGTCATCATCGTCATCATCAGCATCATCATCACAATCAGCATCATCATTATCAGCATCATCAGCATCATCAGCACCATCATCAGCATAATCATCTGCATCATCAGCATCATCATCGTCATCGTTATCATCAGCATCATTATCCTCATCAGCATCATCATCACGATATCTCTCAGCAGCATCACCATCAGCATCATCATTAGCATCATCAGCACCATCGTCATCATCATCAACCACATCCACATCAACATCAGCATCACGATTGACGACATCCACATCAGCATCATCATCAGCAACATCCTTGTCATCAGCATCATCACCATCGTCATCAACATCTTTGCCAGCATCACCCATCATCGCCATCATCAACGTGATGATCAGTAGCATCCTCATCACCGCCAGCATCATCATCATCCGCATCCTCGTCATCGTCATCATCATCGTCATCGGCATCGTCATCATCATCGTCATTATCGTCGTCATCGTCATCATCATCGTCATCAGCATCGTCATCCCCTCATCCTTCATCCTTCATCCTTCTCATCCTTCTCCTCCTTCTCCTCTTCCTCCTGCTCCTTCTCATTCTCATCCTCCCCCTCCCCCTCCTCATCCCCCTCCTCCTCCTCCTCCTCCTCCTCCTCCTCCTGCTCCTCCTCCTGCTCTCTCTCTCTCTCTGCCCCCGCCGAGCGCCTGGCGTTCGCGGAGGTAGAAGATCCAGGGGCTCGCATGGGTCCACCGCGTGGATCCCCGTGGCGCCGCCGAGCGTCGACGGTCGGAGATTCTTGATGCGTTTCTCAGCGGCGAGCCCAGGGGGCAAGTGTCGGGGAGACGTAAGACCCGGGTACGGGGGACTCGGAAATCCCCGACGAGGTCGTCAAAAAAATGACGAGGCCGAGCCTGCATTTTGACGAGGCCTCCCGCTGCAGACATCCCACGAAACTCCTCCTCGTCAAAATCCGAGGCGCGGTCGTCAAAAAACGATGGCGAACCCGAGTCCCGGCAAACCCGGGTCTTACGCTCCCCCGAAAGTGAGAAGAAGAAGGGCTTCTCAGAACGCTCGGAAGTCCCCTGGCCTTCTGAGAAAGGTTCCAAGACTTCCCAGAAGATGCAAAAAACATCTCTCGGAAGGTCCGAGGGCTTCTGAGAAGCCCCGTTGCCTTTTGAGAAGGCCTTCCCCTTCTCAGTTCTCCCCCTCGCTCGCCGCCGAAGAGGGGGGAGGAGATCTTCGGGCGTATACCTGTCTGGATTTGAAGTATGTCTTGGACCTTGCTCGCCGGTTCCCTCAGACGTCGTGCGTGGAGGATCGGAGGTGTTCGGTGTCCTTCGGACGATACGTCGTGCGTCGAGGATCGGAGGCTTGCGACTTTTCCTGGCGTTTCTCTGAAGGTGATGCTGGGTGGCCTCCCTGGGCACCCTCGTCGATGCGACTGGGTACGCCTCGACACTCCGAGCAGAACGTGTAAATACCCCTGTGCAGGTCTGGATGGGCGGCATTGCGGATCAAGGATTGATAAATTCGGGCGTGTTTGTTCGCATGTTCTCTCTTTGCATATCTGCTTGCTTGGAACGAAGGGGAGGCAAAAGAGTGAGCGTGAGCGTTGACCGGCCAGGAACCAATTGATTAGCCCCGTCGGATCTGGTAGGATGCTCTGTGCTTCTTCGTTGTGTCCCCAAACGGCTCGTCTGCAAGGACCCTCTGGATTGTTCCTGAGGCTGGGTGTGCGCCCTCCTGGATCAAGAGTCGGTGACTCGTGGCCCGTGGTCTCCCGTGTGCTCGGGCGCATGCTCTCTCGCATGGTCTCCCGCACTGTCCTCCGCATCTTCCCGTGTGGCCTCCCGTGTGGCCTCCTGTATGGCCTCCCGGAACTTTTCCTTCATGGTCTCCAAGATGGTCTCCCGTACTGCCTCCCGTATGGCCTCGCGCATCCTGTCCCGTCCGGTCTCCCGTGCCAGGTCTCCGGTGTGGCCTCCCGTATCCTCTCTCGTATGGTCTCCAGTGTGTCCTCCCTTGCAGCGCTTTCTAGAATGCTCTCTATACTACTCGTCACTCCCATGTGGTCCTCCAGATAATGCTCCCTTCTATGTTCAGAGAGTCATGAAGGGCTCTGCCTCACAGTACCTTCAGACCTGGCTAATGGCACGCCAATGACCGCCTGATTTGGCACGAATGGTCTCTGCGATCGCGATAAAGCGCGAACGAGAGATGAGAAGCGAGCCATCCGAAGCCCATTCGTGGGCTATTCAGTGTTTCAAAAAAACATCAGCAGGTCATTAGTGGGCCACTCGTGGGTCAAATTCATTCATGGGCCATGCATGAGCCAAATTCATTAGTGGGCCATTAGCGGGGCCATCGGTGGGCCATTAGGATGGCATTAGCAGACCATTAGATGGGAATATGTGGGCCGTTAGTGGGGAAAATAGCTGGGCATTCCATTGGCACCTGTCGAGAAAACCCCTCCCTGAAAAGAGCTGTTTAGGATGTTCTGCCGCCAAGGGTGCAAGTGGCCCCCGCGAACCTCCCCAAGGCCCTCCAGAAAGGCCTCCGGGTATTCCCCAAGGCCTCGGGGGACCTCTGTAAACATCCAGGGGCCCCCGTCGTGATCGTCGTCGCTGCCACCACCGCCGTCGTCGCCGTCGCCGCCGCCGCCGTCATCATCACCGTCGTCGTCGTCGTCGTCGTCGTTGTCGTCGTCGCCGTCATCATCGTAAACGCTACCAGCGCCGGCACCGTCGCCGTCGCCGTTGTCGTCGCTGTCGTCGCCGTCGTCGCCGTCGTCGCCAACCTGCGTCGTCGTCGTCGGTCGAGGGTCAAGCGGGCATCGAAGCTTCTGCGCGCTTCTGGTTCTTCTCTGGTCACTGGGGGCGCCCTCGGCGGCTGGATCCGTATCGAAGCTGTGGTCAGAACGCGCCCCAGGACATGCCTGGGGGTCGTCCGGGGTCGACTGGGAACGTCGCCGCCGCCGCCATCGTCGTCATCGGTCGTCCTCGTCGCAGACGTCTTCGGAAGGGGATGGAGAGGATGAGTTGAGAGGGGGGGCGCCTTCCTTCTCTCCTCGCCTTCTTCTCCTGCCCCCTTCCTCCCTCCTAACCTCCTCCACTCCTCCCCGTTCTCCCCTCCGCCTCCTCCTCCACCCTTGCTCCGCTCATCCTCCTCCTTCTCCCTCCACCTCCCTCTCTTCCCATACAAACCTCCCCTCCCTCCCTCAGGAGGCGCGCGGCGAAGGGAAAGGGCACTACGCGAGAGGACCTGCCGACCTTGCGCGATGGCTCACCTGGGCTGCCGACACAGCTCACCGCGTGGAAGAGAGGGCGCTCGCGCGCGAACTCACGCGCTGCAGCAGCAACAGCGACCAGAGGAGATCCTCCTGACGACGACAAAGGCGACGGCGGCGATGGAGCAGCGACAGCAGCGGACGGAGACGGCGATGACGACGGCGGCGGTGACGACGGTGGCGGCTGCGACGGCGGCGACGACGGCGACCCCGACAGCGGCAGCGACCCCGACGGCGGCGGCAACGACGACGACGACGGCGGCGACGGCGGCGGCGACGGCGGCGACTCCGACGACGGTGGCGACGTCGTGGCGCCTGGGCTCGCCGGCGGCGGAGCCGCCCGGCAGCACCTGGCGCGACGGCGCGCGGAGGCGTCGCCGGGGTATCGCGTCGCCGGCTGCCCGCTGCGGGCGGGCCTCTCTGGATGCATGCCAGAATAAGGAAAAGGAAACGCAAGAGGCTCCAAGAGGCCCCCAAGAGGCCCCGAGAGGCACAAATCAGGCCCCAGGAGGCCCCCCAAGACGCCCCAGGACACCTCCTAAAACCGCCTCCAAGTGGTATCCTCACAGGCATCCAGGAGGCCTCTGACCTACAACCCAGGCGCGGTGGCGGGATGGGCCGAGGGCCACTAGTAGGGAAAAAGAATCCTTCCACCACCACCACCACCTGAAAGGCGGAGGCAGTGGGTTATACCGTTTCGGGTGCCCTCGCGGGAAATCCTGCACACCTGCATCCCGCATATCAGCCCATCCTGCACCCACTGCAGGTGGTGGTGGTGGTGGTGGTACGCAGGCCCGAGCTGACAGAAGTGACCCCAGGCAGACCTCCTCATCGCTTGAGCGTTTCTTATTTCGGGGGCAAGAAACAACAGGGAGAATAAAGGCGAACCTCTCGCGTACCCTATAATAACCTGGGTGGGATGTCAAACCCGGAAGGCTCAAACGTTCGAGCGTCAGCCCGCCACGGCCGCCTCAACCTTCCGACCCAACACCACTGCAACTCTCCAACCCGTTAATCCCACCACCCCTATGAGCGTAGGTAGTTTAGGGCGGTTTCTCTTCCAACCCCTCCCTCTTCCCCTTCGCAAAACGGTTTATCATTGCTCCCTAATGATATACACCCCCTCCCCCAGGCGACCAGCAGACAACCAGGAACCATGCTCCCCCCCGCCACCATGCCTGTCAAAGAACAATACGAAGCGCACTCCGTCTCCAAAATTCGGAGCATGCGCGACCAACCCGATGCGGCCGCCCCCCAACCATCCAGTACATTTTGGGGTAAAGTCTGGAGTCATGTTCGTGAGGCTCGCGAGCACCTTGAATTGTTTTTCCCAACCATCATGTGGTGTTGGGTCCTCGTTTTGAAGAAACAACGCCCCGCGTTCCTTCCTCTCCTCCTCCTCCCCCTCCTCCCTCCTCCCATTCCTGCCTCTGCCCTCCGCGTGTCAACAAGTTCGGCACCCCCCCATTCACGGGGTTCGTAGCCCCATAGGGAGCTCCACCGAAGGGCCCAATGGCAAGGTCCGCATGCGTCCGACGCCCATTTCGGCACACTCCGCACACGGTTCGTGGCACCACAGGGAACTCCACCGAAGACTCCAGCGGCAGGGTCCGCATGCGCCCGACGCCCATGTGGGCACACCCCTCACAGGGTACGTGGCCCCATAAAGGGGTTTCACCGACAGCCCCAGTGGCAAGGTCCGCATGCGTCCGACGCCCGTGTCGGCACACCCCTCACACGGCACGTGGCCCCATAAGGAGCTCCACCGAAGGCCCCAGCGACAGGGTCGGGCTTCATGGCCCCATAAGGAGCTCCACCGAAAGCCCCAGCGGCAGGGCCCGCATGCGCCCGACGCCCATGGCGGCACACCCCTCACACGGTTCGTGGCCCCATAAAGAGCTCCACCGAAAGCGGTACCCACAACGCGGTACCCACGACAGCGGATGGCTGGGTCCTTTTCCAAGATACATTGAAAGGGACGGCGGGCGTGTCAGCAGTTAGCCTGCTGTGAGCAGAGCTACCATCCCTGACAAAATACCATACAAAATGTACCTCGCTGCGAAATCTGGATCATGCGCGGCCACCCCGCGATCATTGCCAGGTGGTTTCTGGCACGGACGGCGGGGTTGGCGGCGTATGGCCTGGTGTGCGCAGGCCCACCAGATTCAACAATGGGCATTGGTTTTCGACAGGGGTCGTGGGGGCCGACATGTTTCCCGATGTGTGCTGTCACGTGCGCAGGCGCACCTGACGCACTTTGTACGTGCCCCGAACGTGGCGCACTTGGCGCGGCTGGGGTATCCGGCACACCTGGCGCACGCGGAGGCACGTGGCGCATCTAACACACCAGGCGTGCCTGGCACGCTCGGGCCCTAGAGGTGCCTGGCGCACATCGCCCCAGCGTCGCGCACATGGGCCCGGTTTTGATTAACAGTAGTTGCCCATTCGAAGACGACCGCTGAGCATGCTGAGGCTCGGAGGGCGGGTGGGGATGAGCTAGACGGCTTGCTATCCAGAGGGTGTTTTGACCCGTCCCCCCGCCCCCTCCTCTGGACCAGGGCAGGGCGCCCCGCGAGCGATCAAAGTATCTAGGATGGCCTAAGACGCCTCCAAGAGGGCCCCAGGGAGCTCAAGATGACCTCCAAGATGGGACAAAATAGACCAAGATGGCTTACTATGACCCCCAAGATGCTCCAAGAGGCCCCAAGCCGCGAAAAGGCCAAAATCCTTCAACATCTAAGGACATCAATGATGTTTGCCTTCTCGCCTTTTCGCTCCGGACTGCCTTCCGAAGCCTCAAGACACTTCCAAGAGGGCCCGTGAGGACCCAAAGAGAAGCCGAAGAGAGCCCCAAGGCGGCCCCAGGAGCGCCCAAGAGCATTCCAAAAGCGCCGCAAGAGGGGCCCAAGAGACGATTGTGTGGGGCTCCGGAGGGGGGAACGCAATTGGAGTTTCCATCTGTTTTGATCGATCTCCCCCAAGTTGGCCCCAAAAGCGCCCCCAAGGCTCCCAAGAACGCCTCGAAAAGGGCCCCAAGAGGCGCCCAGGAGGCCTCAAGAGGCGCCCAAGAGGCCTCCAAGAGACTCCCAAGAGACCCCCAAAAGGCCCCGAGAGGCTCCCCGAGGCACCCAAGACGCTCCAAGAGGCCCCCAGGACCACCAAGAGGCCCCCAAGACGCTCCAAGAAACCTCTAAAAAGCTTCCAAGAGACATCCGAGGAGACTCTGAGAAGCAACTCGCCGGGGCATATTTTCTGGATGGGCTGGCGGGGACATTTTTTGCCCGCGGGCGCGCGAACACGAATCGAATGCCGAGCGTGCTAGGGCGGGCCGCGCCCGTAGCAAAGAGACAAGCAATGAAGCAACGGCGCCAGGCGGAAGGGAAGTACAGCAGTACCATTCATCCTGCGCGCAGCTACCGAAGAGCGCGCCGAAGACGAAGTACACGAATACCCGTAGTCGCTCATGCGGCGGAGCCGGTGAGGTCCAGGAAGTCTGCCAGGCCGAGGAGGACCAAGAAGGCCACGATGCACACCAAAATGGTAAGTGAATTGAGCGTCAAACCCATGACGAAAAGTCAGACAGCCGCAATGCAGATGCTCGCCATGCGCGAAGCGAAGAAGCAAGCGAAAGGCAAGGCGAAGGTCGCCGCCAGCAGACACACGCCGTGAACGTCAATGCGCGTCGCTGTCCGCCGTCACTCGCATGTGGGGTGGAAGCCAGCCGTCGGCAGCGCAAGACCCGTGCCTGGGGGCGTCCGCTAGCCTGTGCGAACTCGACGACGGAGTGGCCCTCAGCGAGCTTCGTGGCCCGTACCGGTCAACCGAGCTCGGGTGGAAGCCGAAAGCTGGTGGGGATACGTTTTTTGTTGCCAACCGAAGGCGAGCGCGCCGACGGCGAGTCAAGGTCCGAGCGGGCCGCGCGAGGGCCTACAGTCAACGCGCCTGGGAAGGACGCGTGCCTTCATCTAGGGTGCCCTTGAGTCCTTGCCTCTGCGGCCCGTCCTTCGCCGTTTTCACTGGCCGCCCCCCGAACCAAAAATCCAACTTCGGCCTCCAAGGGTCTTGCGTCCTTACCACCCGTCCTGAAATAAACGTTTTGACTGGGAAGGGCAGGATTGGGAGGAGGAGGAGTCGGAGGAGGAGGAGGAGAAGGAGAAGCGGGGAGAGGAGGAACAAGGTGGAGGATGACGATGGAGCGATAACGGCGACGACGGTGACGACCGCGGCGATGACAACGACGCGGGGACGACGACGAGGGCGTCTACGAGGATGACTCGGACTACGAGGACGAGGATGACGACGGCGGAGATGCTCGACTTCATCCCTGGAGGAAGAAAGGATGATGAAGAAGGATCCAGGAGTGTAGGAGGAAAGGAGGAACAGGAGAAACATGAGGGGGGCACATTCACATCGGCTTGCCGAAAATTCGACCTCTGTGCTAAGGCTGTTACGTATGGAAATTCCGTGCTTACGCAGCCAGGTCGGCTACAGGGGGCGTCGCCGACATGAGCGATCTGCCCGGGAAACCACCCTGGAGAGCCGCGATCGCCTTCAAACGTCTGGGGCGACACTCCTCCGCGTGTGCTCGGCCGACACGGCCGCAGTCGTAAGAGGAGGAGGACGAAGAAGAGCTTAGGCACCAAGTCTGCAGCCCAGCTTCGCCAAAGCGCTGGGCAATCCCGATGTCATAGTCACGAGTGCAAAATGCGATCGGCATTCAATAGGTATCAGAAAGAGCGTTTCCTGGCTTGGAGGGGACATCAGGGAGGGAGTAGGATCCCCCCGTCAAAAAATCCTGGGGGTCAGCGAATTCCCCCCCCCCCCCTCCCGCCCTCGAAAGTGCAAGCCGGGCTGACGTCCCATCTCGGCTCAGGCCAGCTTTGGCTGAAATGAGATAGCGGCCTCCTCCGAGATGCCCTTGGGCGGTACCACACGTGTGCTGACTTGGGCGCTGTGTCTGGTATACTTCATGGTCTTCAGCGGTGCACGCCAGGGTACCGAACTGCGTGGTGGACTGTTCATCGTCGGCACCTCTAGCGACTTGGCAGTGCAATCTGTGCTGTTCAGCCTTTGGCTTATGCCTCGCTCTGTGCATGCATGCGCTGGTCGTTTCAGGCGAGGGCATCGTGAACGGCTTGCTGGTGCACCGTTTCCAACTTCGTGTGTTGTGCTGGCCACGTCGTGAGGCTCGGCTGTGGTGGCAACGCGTGTTACGCCTTATGTTACCCGTCGGTCGGAAGAAGTAGGTGGAAACATGAAGTGGAAAGGCGTTGAGAGTAGATTGGATGTCCACCCACCCCCTGAAGAGGAGGGAAAAGGTGAAGCCACTCGATCATTGAAGTAGGCAGGCGCTTAAAGTAGTTTGGAATATGGAGGTTGGAGCATGGGAATCTAAAAGTACCTACCTCCAACGACCGATGGGTATATGTCTTTGCTGTGTTATCTGCCTCTCGTCGAGTAGCGGGTCAGGCGGGGCTCTTAGCACGCCCCCACCTTGGTGTGGCCCGCCGCCCACGCGGTGGATGGTGTCCGCGCAGCTGCCCGAGTCGGCAACGATGGTTGCATGCTCTCACTCGCCTGTCCATCTCACCTTTGCAATTCTAGGTTCCTCTCTCCTGCAGGTCATAGTTTATCCGTGAGGTGCGTGTTGCTTCCGTTTGGAGGTGCTGGCTTCGCTCCTCGTAGTACTTACGGCTCTGGGTAGCAGGTACTACATGTCCTATGTCATGGTCCTCTGCCCCATCTGCCTGGAGTATGTTGCAGGGGGGCCGTATTCTCGGTCAATGTTGGGGGACGCCCTCTTTCTATGGACGCTATGCTTCACTGCGTGTATGCATACACTGGTCGTAACAGGCAAGGGTATCGTAAGCGGCTTGCTGGTGCGCCGTCTCCAACCTCATTTTTGTGATGATCACGCCGTGCGGCTCGGATACGGTGGCAACGCGTTTTCAACTTCGTATTTGTGATGTTCGCGCTGTCTGATTTGTCATGCACGCTTTGGTTCGAGGGCTTTGCATGGGATGCTCAAGATGGACCCCGCCATTAACTCCCTCATATTGGGCGTTGAAGAGGGTGCGGTATTGTTCCTCCTCTTCGTCCTCTTGGTTGTCATGGTCGCCCTCATCCTCTACGTTTTCCTTGTGGTGCTGTTCACACCCGTCCTGAAGTGAAACCCGCACGGGGGAAACAGTGAACGTCGGGGGGGATTCGGATCCCCCCCCCCGCTTCCGGCAGACGACGACGACGACGACAACGACGACGAAGGCGAAGGCGAAGGCGAAGGCGAAGGCGAAGGCGGCGACGGCGATGATGGCCAGGACACCTTCAGACGGGCGAGCGGGCTGGACACGGCATGCAACAAACATCCATCAACCAGCGAGGGCTGCTGCACGTGATGTCTCGCCCGCCCGCCGCCTGCACGTCCGGCCCGTGGTCGTGGTCGTGGTCGTGGTCGTCCTCGTCGTCGTCGTCGTCGTCTTCGCCGCCGCCGCCACCGTCGTCGTGGTTTTTGTTTGCCTCAAACTTGTCCCAACAAACAGTGATGGTTATATTTAATGTCCCGCCCGCCCGCTCGACTGAACGTCCCGACCGCGGTCGTCGTTGTCATCGTCGCCGCCTTCGTCGCTGGTTGGGATCTGTTTCCCCCAATCCTTGTCCCATCAAGAATCCATTGAAGGTCTTGTCCGCCCGTGCGGCTGAACCTTTCACCCGTGGTCG